GCAGGATAAGCAATGCTGGCAGGAAGGTAGAGAGATGGATGGATAAATGAATGAATGAATACAACCTTTACAGAATAGGATAGAAAAAAGTGTGGAAATAAAAATGTTTTTTCCATACTAGGCTTTATTTTTATTACTTAACCAAACTTGGTAATTTATTTTAATACATATTTGTCAGGACAGTTTTAGAAAATTATAGAAACATTTAGTCAAATGTTCATGTATATGGATTAATAGGGAAGGATATTCATTAAAAAAGTAATGATGTAGACAGAGTTGTAAATACAACCTTTTTAAGAACTGTTATCAACCACAAATCTGATTACTTTTCTGTAGATCAGTAGTAAACTTAGATTTAATAGTGTCTGCATCTTTTTTTATATGTGAAGTTTGTTTTTTTTTGTTTGTTTTTTACTTTAGCTATACATTATTTTTTTCATAAACTCACCGTAGCTTCATTGCAAACCCCACATTTCACCACATGCTGGTGGATCTTTCCCTCCACCGAGATGAGGCTCTGACATACTCTGCAGCTGATAACAGGGGCATTTCCGCTCTCCGGGGAGGTGAGTGGGGAATAGGGTGGAGGGTCCTCCCCTAGGAGCACTGAAGGCTGACTGGCACTGGGGAAAGGGGGGAAGCCTGAACAAGAGCAGAATAAAAAATAGGAAAGTAATAATATAACAAAAGCTCTAGTTGTTGGGGGTTACAGGAGTGGTGCAGTGCATTGAAAAAAAATCCCGACAACCTTCAATTCTCATGACAAGTAACCCATTACAACAAACGAGATAATGCGATTAAGTCTGGCGTTCAGCAGAAAGGAGCTTTAGTTGAAAAACACTTAAGGAATGCAGAGCAGGGCTGGTTTCAACACAGGAGTATTTACAAAAGCTAAAACCGGAGTGTTAAGGACAGCTTAGCCTAGAAATCACCTAAAATACGCAACTCTGTCTGCTTTTTTATCTACTTAAAATTCTTTTTTTTTATTTAGAAAAATCTAAGTGATGAGTTAGAAAAAGAATATCTTCTCTTTTGTAGTAAACGCTTTACATGCAAAGTGGGATTGGATGCAGCATCCCTCCGCAGCATCCGTAGTCACTTCCTCCTGTCAATCAAATCAGGTGTTTCTAGGATGCTAGCCAGACCCTCGCAATTCCTACAATAACATAACTAGTGAAAACATTTAGCCAGAATAAGCTATTCTATTTCACCCAAAGTCCATAAACATAGATATTTTCATGGTGTCATTATTATCTGTTAGCCGTTAAGCTAAGCACAGTAGCACAGACGCTAGAAAGAGCTAGCATCTTTTAGGCTAAGAATACAACGGCTACTTGGTTTACAAATATTTATGTCAATACTATAAAACTAACCTTTTTATCTGAGAGAATGTGGTCAATAAATGTGGTTTAACAAGCATTCGCCAAATTCTGAACCAGAAACATTAAAATAGTTAGTACAGTTAGTGGAAATGACAGAGCTAACGGGCTAACTGTAATGCCCAGTCAGTGAAGGAGGCTGTGTTAAGCTAGGCTAACAGAGGCTGGACTGAGGATGGATCACTGTGCATACTCACTCTCTGGTTTGTTGGGTACACTATAGGACCCAGCGCCGGGGGAAACCCCCCCGTTACCGCTTCCAAGAGCGCCATCCCCCAAATCTGAGAGTAACGGGGACCTCTCGCCGTCCGCCATACCGAGAGCGAGGCGCAGGTAGGGGGTGAGAGAGCAGGAGAGACGTTGCTGACCGATTCGGTGTTGTATTGTTGTCTCGGAAATGAGTCGTCACATGATCACACCCACCCAGTCCGCCAGCACCGTTAGTGATGCGGTAACGGAGCCCGGGGGGGTGTGGCACCGCTCTCCTGATGCGATCCTGGGAGAGATGCGCCCGGAAGGAGGACAGCCATTGTTTAGCCTTTAAATAGCCATTTATTGTTGACTCTCTCTATTTTTACCTCCAGTAGTACGATTTCTGAAATATATATGAAATAAAACACCTTTTTTAAGTTAATAGGGTCAATTCTTACAGTTAGAGTCTTTCCTCCATATGGGCGGTTCTTGAAAAGGGCCAACGGGGCCAGTGCCCCTGTAGAGCTGGTCCTGGCCCCTGTTCTAGTCCTGAAAATATACTGAAAACATACACAGCATAAAAGGAAATCTAAGAAAGTCGTTATTTTTCTTAAAACTGAGTTCATTTTACCTTTGCTTGAGCAGATAACTGAGACAGTTTTCCAATAGAACAATATTTATGTTTAAAAAAAAGACAAAATAACTTCCTTAAGCCGGGTGTACACTGTGGGATACATGAGAGAATTTTCTGATCAGCCCGACTTTCAGCCTGATTGTGCATCCTGTAGTGTATAGGGAGTAACGAGGGGTGATCAGCCTCTCACAACCACCTCCTGATCAGGAAACGTGAGGTCGGGGGAAAATCAAAATTTTTTTATATTTTTAGTTGACCATCGTGGGCAAATCACTCAGTGCGCAAACAAGGATTCTTCTTCTTCTTCCTCTCAGATGAAAACACAGCAGCATGGCAGGGGTGCGAGTGAAATGGAGTTCTTTCTGTAAAATTGACAGACAATTGTAGCCACATTTGCTCAGCCATGTCTTTGTCCAAATACATAGTTGCCTCTTTTTTTTTTAGGGCTTTCAGCACAAAATTGCACAAATTGCCAAGGCAGCGTGTTTCACTCTCACACTGTTCGACGAAACCACAGGGTTTCGTCATACAGTGTGAGAGGTAGCTGGGTGCAACGATTAAAACAAATCACACAATGTATGCCTGGCTTTATTTTAATTCAAGAGCATCTAAGTCTTTTGTATTAAAGGCAAAAATAATAATTCATTTAGTAGATCATCTTATTTTCTTGCTCAAATTACAGGGAATTACACTTATTTTAAGCAATCTTAACATTTCTTGTATCAGTTTTTCCAGTGGTGTACTAAATAGATTTCTTAAAATGACCTCGCGAAAGCCGCCTGGGATAAGCATGACAGAAAAGGGATGGATGGATGGATGGATGGATAGATGGATGGATGGATGGATGGATGGATGGATGGATGGATGGATGGATGGATGGATGGATGGATGGATGGATGGATGGATGGATGGATGGATATGTGCTGACAGAGGACACAGCAACTCGTCCAAATTCACTTCAAACTATGAATAATTAGAAATTACAGTTACAATTAAGTAATAAAGCTTCCCCCAGCCAGAGGAGCAATCCTGACTATAAATTTGCTTCCCCCACCACAGCATTGTCCTCTGCTTAATGAACATGCTTATACACACAACATCTTTTTAGCAAAATAAAGGAGCAGAGGACAAGTCCCAATAATTTGCAGCACGTATTTATTTGTGCTTCTATTTTCTATTAATTATTATTTGAAATTCCAATCTGTATCTACCCAACATAATTCAACTCTAGATATTCTGCTATGGATTATGGTTAGTATACCACACAAGAATGTCAGTGTACAAAGCCTCATAGACCCCTGCCACTCTCTTATCACAGCACCTCCTTTTGGGTTACACTGACTCCCCCTTTACTCCAAAACACAAGATGCTGGTTCTTACCTGTAGGGCACTAGATGGACAAACATGTCTGAAATGTTATTATCTATATATCACTGTGACATCCAAGAGATGCTGTGATCAGGGCGTGCTGCAGGGTATGAGGTTGAAAAGCTTTTTAAACTACAGCATCAGAACTTTTCCCCATTAAGTTTAAGACCCATTGACTCTGTTAATAAAGAAGAGCATGTGTTGTTATAATGCTAAAAGTTTATTCTCTGATAATATCTACTTTATGCCTGTGTGATTTAGAAATATGATGTCAAATATAACTGTTTTACTGCTGCAATATTTATTATCTCGTTTTTACAATGATGAATACAACAATAATAATAATTTGGTTTGATGTTGTAAAACTAACACTGTATAGCAATCTGAATATAGTATCTCATGGTGAAAGTAGCAGCATGTGGCTATGGTGGACTTTTTTCCTCCCTACTGTCGCTGCATGCATGTTCGGCATGACAGACTGCTGATGCAAGTGGCCTACTGACGCCACATGCTGATCCAGCAGGAGTGAATCTAGCAACAAATCGAAGCAGTCAACTTGGACTTCTTTGATAGAAACCAATCTATATGAGCTGATTGAATTGTCTCTGTAAAGTGCCTCGAGGTGTCATGTGTTGTGAATTGCCCCAATGTACATAAACTGAACTAAATTGAAACTGAATAGATCAAAGCATTCACATGTGTTCAAATTGATGCACTGAGAAATTGTGAGGCTTGAAAACTGATGTGCAACGATGCTCTCTATTCATCATCAGGTAGTTTTTGTGACATAACCATGAAAAAAAGATTTCCGTTTGAAGAATGATGACTTGGAGCTCCAACTGCAGCTAAATGGTTTCAATTTGTACGTTTGCATTATTTCAGTTTATAAAAAGTCATCTAAAAAAAAAAAAATAATTTTTCATTTATCACAATTATGCACTTATTTTTCTCGCCATAAAAAAATCAAAACAATCAAAAAAAAAAAAAAATTCACTGAAGTATGAAGTGTATCTGTGGTAAGGTTCCCAAATATTTCTATAGGGTGCTGTACATGACATGTTTGTTGGTAGCAGGTGAAGCTGGGGCAGAGATAAAAAATGTTGGCAAACTTGGTCTGGCTGTCTCATGGTGAAAGTTTCATTTATTCATTTATTTTTTTGTTGTTATTGGATGTCCTTATTTTTCCATATTTTGCTGTTTTGTTTCAAACAAATAACATGTGACTTCTAAATCATTTATCTAAAACACGACACTTTCCTAAAAGATAAACCATTACTGTCTAAATTAAAATCATAATAAGAATCTAATTAACAGCCAAGTTTACCATACAAACAAGGAATTTGACTTTGGTGTTCATCACTGACAACATTAGCCTCAACATTAGTTAAAAATGTAGATAAAATAAAATAAAAAATAATCAATAAAAAAAAATTATTACAGGTTTTTATTCTTCAGGCACATTGTTGCAAGCATATAAAATGTCATACTATTTCTACAACTACTTCTAAAATACCTCCATAGGATGATTCATTAAAAAAAAAGGTTTATAACATCTACTTTAACCATGCATTCTTTTAAATTCTGAAAAAAAACTAAAAGCATAGTGAATAAAATTTAGATGTATCATAGCATATTTATTCCACCTTTTGGTCAATTAAGACAGAGATTACTTATATATATATATATATATATATATATATATATATATATATATATATATATATATATATATATATATATATATATATATATAAAAGTATTGGTTTATCTCAGATCTTGCTGCTTTTTTCCTTTTTTATTGCATGTTGATAAAGTCCATTGGTCGCTTCATCAGTAAAGTCACCTCCAGCTCCTGTCTGTCACCGAAGAACTGAGCCTTTCCCTCTTGACTCTGGATGGGATGGGGCAGATGGAGGCCCAGTTTACTAAAAAAACACACAAAAAAGAGACAGGAGAAAGAAACAAAGAGAGTGTAGGAGAGATGTAAAGTGATTGAAGAGCTGGCTGGAGAAGTAATCAAAGCTCAGGTCATGATGTGAAGCACTGGTTAAAAGGAAATGTTTGAAGAGGCGAGCTCTTAGTCTGAACTGCAGCTGCTCAATAAGAGATCAAAACTGAAAGCCAGGGTCTCTTACTACTTTGGTGTCCGCAGATCCAGGAATTTCTCTTTTATATCTAAGATGATATCTGTTGCCTTTATGTCGGGTAGTTTTATTTTCACCTAAAAAGAGGAAAAAGACATCAGCATCTTTTGAAAATTATGCTATTTAAACACATTGCTTTATGTCATTTAATTACACGCTTCACTAAAGGAGCAATAAAAAAAATCAAAGTAATACATTTTCTTTATCAGTCACATTACTATAAAATTAAAGTATTTATCCGTTTTGCATGGTTCTCATATCCTATATGGCTTATGTTGATATTTACAGTTAAAAATTATTTCCCCATCACATAAGGATTGTTTAAGCTAATAGCCGCATAGTTTTAGTTAAAAGATCTAAAATATGGAGGTGTGCAACATATTTATCTATTTTTTGCATGTTTTATTACAGGAGGCAGGAATTTTATAAATATTAACATGTTTGCATAAAATGTACAAATATGAGACAGAAAGAAGGGAAAGACAGAGAGAAAAAAGGAAGGAGGCAAGGAAACAAGGAGGTAGGAGAGATAGAGAAGCAGAGGTAGGACACAGGAGTGCAAGTAGTTAAATAAAGGAAGCACAAAAGGAATAAAAGTAAAAAAACAAGACAAAGAAGTAAGAAATGAGGGAAGACCACAACGTAGAAAATATCATAGGAAATTTAGCCTGAAATATATTTTCATACACTTTCTTTTTCCATACTTACACAGACCTGAGAAAATTTGTTATTAAATTCCATAGTTTTCAAAACTGCATAGACTTCCTGGATCTACTGTTTTGGATGTGCTCCATATACGGTAATAAATCAATAGGGAAATGTATGATGTCAGCACCATGGCATTTGGAAAAGACTGCTTCAATGCATCTTTTGATAGGACTCATATTTCCACATCCTCGTCCTGTTTTCCCCTGTGAGTTAAGTTCAGTAGAATATAGCTCATTTTGTTTTTTCTTTAACAATTCAAACCAACTTTCAAACAATTTAATAGTAATTGAATTTTGCTTATGCATTTTTTAAGTAAATGCTGGCTGTATGTTTTCTAAAAAAACAAAAAACAAATCCAAAACAATATTGAAAAAGTTTCTTGAATAAAAGATGTTTGATGAATTACCAGCATGGCTTCACAGCACATTGAAGATGGGTCCTTTCGACTTAAACCCAGGAAAAGGTCCTGTGTTCCCACATTCTGCTTCAATATAATTTCATACCTGCACAAATTCATACAAGACATGATATTAAAACTTCACATTATCTGAGCTAATGTTGTCAAACTCACCTGCTTACCAGGTAAAGATGTGTAAAAAGCCTTAAAATGTACTAAAAATAAACTCACACTGACAAATTAAGAACAATTAAACACTTAGTTTTATTTCTTTATTTATTGATTAAAAATGATTCCTTCCAACTAAACAGATGTTCACATGAGTGTCATTTAACAATGTAAAGTAAACTTAGTGAAACTCTTTGAGACAATTAATTAACAGTTACCTGGACTTTTTATTTTAAATCTCTTTTATTCCAACCGTCTCACACAGTCATCAAACCTAGTAGCTCTTGTGGTAAAATAAATTGGTATCTGTGTCATATTGTATTTATTCCAGAGAAAAACAGTATTGGATTACTAATAATTCATCCCCGAAAGCTTGTTATGAGTAATTAGATCTTTAATTTAAAGCAATGATTTTTAAGTGTGATGAGTGCCAATATGTGTGAGAAAAACTATTTTAAAGAAACACTACAATTTTAAAGCTTTTGACCCAAGTATTTGCTTAAATTGAAGATTTCTTTTTTTTTACTTTAAGGATTAGATTTCAATTTTTTTATGTGAGATTATGCTGTTGTTATAAAAATGTATTTATTTAAATACTTTTAACACACCATTTACAAGGTGCTGAGAAATTTCCATGGATTTTTTCATATGCGCCACCGTGGCTTGTTGCAATGTTAATTATTTGAAATCCAGACAAAGCAACTGGAGCTCTTACTCAGGTTGTTGTCGAGGATCAGCCAGATCATCATACTGGGGGCCCTCAACCACTTCCTCCTCACTCCAGATATCTTTACTGGTTATCTTTGTGTAGGTAGACACTATTTTACCAGAAATAAAATGAAAGTTAGTTTGTATTTTGAAAATTCAATTCACAGAATTACATTAACTTGAGATAAACAGGTGAATATACCTTCTTTTTCTTTCCTGGGTTTGGGGCCAATATGTCCAGGTCCAAGTTGTGCACATGCTGTTTTAATCGGCTGAAAAAAACAAACAAACCCCAATGTATTACCACAAAGCTTTGGCAACCAGACAACCTTTATGATGTATGGGAGGATCAAATAAAAAAACAAAAACAATTTGCATTCAAGTCGTCGGGAAGCGGCTGTTCCAACCGTTGCATTTCTGAATTGTCCCGAGTGGTGCCCGACTTTACACAAGTTAATAAAGTGAATGTGAATGGTTGTTTATCAAGAGGGTGGGATTGTTGTGGCGGAAGGTTCGCAAGCAAGTTTGATTGTGGCCGGTTTGTCGGAAGCATCTTGCTAACCAGTTAGCAACTTAGTGCTAGTAGGTTCCCAATGGGAAATTACATTGGCACCAAGTAGCACTAACTTGGTGAGTTAGCAACGACACTGTCAAGGAACGCTATGGAGAGCTGAAACATGCAAGAGGAGAGTTTTGAGAGTGTCAGAGGTCATGGATGAGTCTCCGTCATATATTTTTTATTTAGAGGAGGAAAGCAGGGATGAAGTTGTTGTGGAAGAGGACGCCAGGGCGGCAGAAGCTTGGTTTGGTGTAGAAGGCTTACAGCCGTATATGTTTGAGCCCTAGCCTCGCAACGCTGCCAGTTCTGTTAGCTCTACGCCTGCTGAAGACACAGACGTCCATCCCCGTGAACACTGGGACGGAACTCAATGGGGAAGGACATGATTCTTATTTCTTTTTCCAATTGTTGCGTATATTAGCTGCAACATATGAATCAAGATGCTATGACTGAAAAGATTTGATTGACAGATGACCGTTGATATATGATTGGCCGAATTTAGGTTTACAAGCTGACGTAAAACGAACTGGCCTACGGAAGAGGATTAGTGCCAGTGGAAAAAAAAAAAAAAAAAAAGTTAACTGATTTTTAAATTTTATTTCAGTTTAGTATGGGAAAAAGTTTAATCTCAGAATTCTGACTGAATTCTGACAATAAAAAAGTCAGAATTCTGAGAAAAAAGTCAGAATTCTGAGATTAAAGTCAGAATTCTGAGATTTTTTAAATATAGAAATTTTCTAACTTTTGGAACAATGTAGTCTGATAAAGATTACATTTATATACACGTTTAAGCCAGAATGATTTGACATTTAAATATGACTTCCCTATGACTTTAAATAAACACTTGATATTTATTTATTTGTGATTAATTCTTACTTCATAATCTTCATCCTCCTCTTCCTCCTGCTGAGTAGAGAGCAGCGAAGATAGAGCCTGTAAGTTTTGGGCAGATGAGACTCCAAAACAGTCCATAATTATAATAATGATAAAAAACGGAGGAAAATGGCCTCAAAACTACTGCTGCTACAAACAATTTGCCTGCTAACTAACGCTTCTTAAAGCCTAGTAATAAAGTCATATGTAGCGTTCAAAAAAATAAAAAAAAATCTCCAGTTAGCATGCTAACTCCAGTTCGCATCGTTGGTGTTGACGTTTTTCGTCTCCATGGAGACGAAGAAACTTTATGGCTGCTATGGTAACTAAGTTGACCTGAAAAGAGAAAGACGAAATGAATGCCAGGCTTAAAATTGGTTCTAAAGGTTATTCTTTCAAAATAACGCGAAAAAATTATAATTTACTGTTAAATGAAGTCATCGCATGTATTTAAGTGTAACTATCAAAAGCTTTAATTTTAGATTAAAGATTGGTCCAATAACGTTTATTCTAACATATTTCTTGCTGCTCTTGAATATCCAATTGTTTTTTTGCATGTGGGGTTGTTTGTGGGCTTATTTCGTCTGTGTGCAGTTAGTATAAACAATATTTTGTCACTTTCCTGCAAAAAAAAAAAAAAGTTTTCAGTCTTACAGGAAAAGTTTGTTGAAACTATTTACTTTGTGTATAACGTTTATTCATGAGTTCAGTAACAATGTTTTTTCCCCTTGTTTTTCAAATCTTATTTTAAATAAAAGTGGACAAAATGGTCCTGGAATCTTTTTAATTATGGAGGGCCTGTGTTTTCATATGTGAATGCACACTAAGCTGTTTTATTCTTTACAAGTTTGGCGTCATTTTTGTGAAGGTTTCTTACGTGATATTTTGTTTACCAGAGTATTTAAATATTTATACCCAAAAACATGTGCTTACTTCAAACATAATTAAACTTTTTTTTTTTTTTTAAACCTAGTCCTCTCCCATTCTTATATTGTTTTAATCTTATTTATTTTAAATTAAATATTATATTTATAGGCCCAAGAGTCTGCCGAGTTAAGTTCTGGGTAAAAATAATGGGAAACTAAACGCTATAGTCATTAGGCGATACAAGATTTTGTGTTCTTGAGAAAAAAATAAATAAAATAAGCCTAATTTTTATTGCATTTTAATAAATCTTGCACAAACTCCCAACATAATTCAAACTACAAACCTAGTCAAATTAAGTTTGCGTGTTAAAAAAAAAAAAGTCTGACCATAAAGAATATATAAAGATATATACGGATATAAGCGTAAGTAAAAGTTCAACGTTTTTTTTTTTTTCTATGTGAGACGCGATGCCAGTAATTTGTCCCTCCGCGGACTCCGTAGGCAGTACATATGGCCCTCGGGGATCATGTTGAAGGTGACAGGTAGAGTCATGCCGGGAGCCTGGGCTATCCTGCCGTTCACCGTGTTCGCGGATAACGGTGTCTCTAAGGGAGAGCCAGAAGCTTCTCCCCCGGTAACCCTGGAGGAGCTCTCCCTCTACACCTCCCCTCCTCCTCCGCAGACTCCCCGGCACGCGGAGCGGGAAGCGGGTCAGCTGGAGGAGACCGTCGCCACCGTCAGGAAGTTAGCTGAGCCCTACACGACTTGGTGCCAAGGAACTTACGGTGTAATTCAACCCAAAGTTCAGAAGGCGGTCCGGTTCGGGAACGAAGCCTACGTCTACCTCCAGAACCCTCCCAAGGACTTCTACCCACGGGCGGGAATTATCGCTTTCGCCGGAGTCGTTGGGCTTTTTCTCGCCAGAGGATCCAGGATTAAGAAAGTCTTGTACCCGGCGGGCTTAATGACCCTGGGGGCGTCGCTGTACTACCCGGAGCAGGCTGCGGCCATCGCCAAGTCCACCGGAGAATCTGTGTATGACACCGCGGTGCAGAGCTACGCTGCTGTGGAGAAGATCCTCAGGTCCCAAAGCAAAGAGAAGAAGAAGAGTAAAGACTGAGGATTCAAACCAGCAGCTCCATTCCCTGATCCTTCTGGATGAATACTGAAATATGACTTTAATGCTCACTCTTTGCACTATGCTTGACTTGGAACTCAGGATTTCCCAGCTTTAAAAATTAAAATACCTCTGCTTCTGATGCAAATGTATATTTAAGTAGAATAAAATAACCAGCTTGGTTTAGAATAAAAATCAGGTTTGCAGTCAACTGTCTTTATTACGATATTAAAACGTATTTTCAATAGTTCTGCAAGTTTATAAAATAATAAATTCCACTCTAAACTTATTAAAATATAAACACAAGAATATAAAACCTGCTTACTAAGTTAAACACCGTCAAAGATTGCTGGTAAATGGATTTTTTACTTTGGCCATTAGGTGGCAGATCCAGCACCCAGTCCACTTTTGAACACATTTTTAAAGATTCTATTCATTTATATAATTAAAGTGTTTTAATATTTAAGCCTTAATACTTGTTCTGTTGGATGATTTATTCAAAAAAATCTGCAGGTTTCTTTCCCAGATGTTTTCTTCCCAAGTTTCCAGTTTTTTTTTCATCTAACTTTACAGATAATCCAAAAATTCACCAATTTATTTCTAGGTATCGCCAGTTTCTATTTGATAACATAAATGAATAGATGAAAAATATCTATCTGGATAATTATGAATAAATGAAAAAAGTGAACCAAATAGGATGGACAGAAGTTTGAACAATACTAATAGAATATCTGAGAATGCAAATGTTTCCATGCTCAACTTTCTTTTTCAACAATGAACACCATGAAAACAAATTTAAGACTTTTCCAGACTGCGTAGGTATTTTTCAGTCCCCATGCTAAAATTATTTTCTTTTAAAACAAAAGATCTGAAAGAGCTTGATAGTTCCAGACAAAAGTGTGAGAATGAAATTATAATCTAATCTGAATCCATAACACAGCACTAAGGATTATAAAAAGCTGGATCACATTAGAAATATACTTTTTATTAAGTTCAACAGGGATCTGTGAGACACCAGCAGTATTTGTTGAGGCGTAGTTGAAAAAAACACCTTAAAATAAATCACATCAGTCACGACTGTTGAACTTTATTCATCTCAGCCAAAATATAAGAAAAACAAAGAAACTTAAATATGACTTGAAAGGACTCCTCAGAGGAGCACCAGCTTCTCGTTCAGAGCGATCTGTGCTTGGGTCAGGTTAGACAGGTAGGTCACCATCAACAGGTCCTGCAAACAGAAAACATTCACTTGTTTATATAACAAACATGCAGGATGTTACTGACATGGATGAGAAATAATGACAAGTAACTCATGTAAGCTTGTTAATAACCCTGTTAAAGATATCTAATGTATCAGTTGAAACATTTTTTAAAGAGGAAGCTTACATTGATGTTGGAATTAAGCATGTTCTCAAAGTCCTCTGCTGAGATGGTTGGCACTTTATTGACCAGGTCCATGAGAAAACGACCCACGCTGTTATCTGCCGTCGCCTTTCCAGACTGAAACAGAGTTCCTGGATTATGGTCCGAGTTTAAACCTATCAGGCTTTCTTTGAACGAGCCAAACGCCACCACTCACCAGCACATCCTCAATGTACGCCAGCACCGTGGTCAGCATATCCTGTATCCTGGACGCAGCGCAGCCCACCTGGGACAGGTCGGAGGTCAGCCCCTTGGTACGGCTGGGAGTAAGACGAGTTCTCTGTAGGAGATCCACTGCAAAGCAGAGATGGAGTTCAGTCAGTGGCCATTTCTCAGTTCACTAGAACACGAGTACGGACTTGTGTCCTCGCCAATAAGTTATTGAGAAAAACAGGAAAGTCTGGACTTGGGGAGAAAAGGAGCACGCAGCATAAATATGGGTCAGTTTGAACAGAATCGTCCTCTTGACCACATGCACGGCTCATCTAGAGCTTAATTTCACCTGTTATTAATGGTCTCTAGATTATACATTACCGTTTTTATTTGGTGGGGGAATAATAATTAACAGTCAGATAAACACAAATCAAATGAACATTTTGTCAAAAAAAAAATTGAAATTTATTGAACAAGAGCAACAGAAAAGAGAACTTTGAACTTTCAATGGAGCGCTCCAATGAAAGCTGCTGCTGCAGTGCATGCTGGGACAGCTGTCAGTCTCAAGAGCTGACAAGTCTGCTCTGATGCATGCTGAGTAAAAAGGGAGGGGTGAGAACAACATCCGGGGACTTTGTTCTCGGTCTGCTGTTCTTATGAACTGGAGCAGTACTAGGGCTGAGGATGAGGACGTATCATGAGCACATGAGAAAGCACAAGTACACAGATTGAGAAACGGCTAATATCCTTGCGTACACTAGAGCATGTGAGGAGCAGAAGAAATATGTTGAAGCGCAGAGCGGTTTTCAATTCAAAGGCCGGAGCGAGGATTTCGATCCGCTCCGGTTTGCTCTGAGGCGCTCACAACGGTAATTAAAAATGTTGGATTATAAAATGTATAAAATAACATTTGATTTGAGTGTGATTTTTGTCCACGTTTTTGATAAAACAGCTGCAAGCCGCAGCGACTGATCCCGATGCATAATAGCGCATTATACGCTATTATCTCATTTGCAATCGGATGTGAAGTGACCTTTTTAATGTGGTCTAGTAAAATAAATTACTAATTAAATAGAAAACGTGAGGCAACATGAATGGAGGGAGATGATACGTTCACAGCTGGGAAACAGTGCAGTAACTTAACAGCCAGTTAAATAAAACAATACCCATGTATCTGTCACATCATTAACGCAGTGTGTCCCAGGCCTCTGGCATCATTACATTAAGGAAAAAATGTCAGAAAACGCCTTCTCCTGAAAATTTGAGCGTGGAGCGATTTCGCCGGAGAGGCAGGAAAATTAAGGTGAGTGCAGAGCAGTTTTTGATTGGTGCCTCCTGGCGCAACTCTGAGTGGCGAAGTGAATGAGCGAACATCCTCCTGAGCGGGAATTGCACAGCGCTCCGCTCCGTTCACATGGTCTGGCGTACACTGTACGATTCTTTGCCCCTTTCGGGACAATTCTCTAGTTGTGTGAGAATTTTTTGATAGGGCTGACTTTCAGCCTGATCATGTGGCGTGTAGTATACAGGGAATAAGGACCACCTCCCGGTCAGGAATCGTGAGGTCGGGGGAAAAAATCGTATATGTTTGAAAGTCGAGCGTCGTAAGATCGCACCAGAGCGAGAACATGCATTGTGCGCTGTGAACTTTTAAACCCTGTGGTTTCATTGTAAACTTTGAGCTGTAGCTGCGTGCAACGATTGAAAATATTCCACAGTGTATGCCCAGCTTAAAGGGCAGATTAGGCTTCTGCAACCGCACACATCGAATGTCGCTTGGGCTGCGAACCATTTTTGCTGGTATGCTTCTGCACAGCAGTTTCCCGCCAAAGCGCAAGGTGGAGCCTTTTTAGAGAACTCTTGAGAACTTCGGCGGCGCCGGCTGGAGTGTTTATCTTCCAAAACAACAATCGCTCGTGTGCAAGATATCACGGTCACAGAGTTGCTAGACATTGAAGAGGAGCAGGTTCTGTTAATGGAGAGTTGTCCATTGTAGTTGGTCCTTGGTTTTTAAAAATCGAGGAACATCGAATCAAGAAAGACGACCACACAGATGGGCGGAAAGCCATACCAAGGACCAATCACAGCTGCTTTTTGTTTGTGCACGACCGCTTGAGGTCGGTGCGGGTTTGCGAGCGTCTGGCGCGTAGTCAGGATTGTTTGAAGGTGCACAACAACGCCTGCAGAACCTCTGCGCGGGGGCGTAGTCGCACTGAGACAGATTTGCCGGTTTCTGAGGCTATGCGTCAGAAGCATAAATTGGCCTCTAGCATCAAAGGAAGCTGATGCTAACGTTTGTTTGGGATCGTTGGAGACGCTCATGTTCAACTTTCAAATATTCAGCTCTTGATTGGAGGCGAAATTTAAGAATTCAGACTTTTATCTTATGGTGATTAACTGCAGGCTATGGTAAGAATTTTGATTTAAATTCTAAATTAGAATTACGTTTAAAACCAACTATAAATAGGTGAAGTGTCTGAACTTTTTATTTTGCTTTTTTCCCTCAATGATGGGTGGAAAAACTCAAGGAAAACTATTAAATACAGCTATTATGGGATGTTTATTGATATAAATTACACTTCTTTATGTAACCGCTGTCCCAATAAAGCCTATTTTATTACTATTTATTTCTCAACAGCATTATCTTTGATTGTGGGGCTCTGATTGGGGTGGCGTGCAGTTATAGCATCACAGTTACCCAAGAAAACCAAAAATAACCAAATAGGAAATTATCATGAATAGTACTTAATTCCCTACCGCCTGTCCCTATTCGCCACAGCATGATGCTTTCACTACCATGCTTCAGAAATGGTGTTCCAACCTTAAGTTTGGAAATCTTTAAAATCCTTGAGTGGAACCAACTTTTTCTCATATGACTGTAAGACTTTAAATCCTATCAATCAATGATTTAAAATGGCTTCACAGAGACACTAATTGATGAATGAGTTTCATTTCATGTCGCACCTCATTAATCCTAGCATGACCGTTCGATACCGCTAAAACTTGGAACACATCTGGTTGTTCAAGCAGTACAGTGATCCGTAACGTTTCAAAACATTTTGTAGTGTATAAACCCTGACATTCGTTCCCATGCTAAGTGGATGGAAAGGTGCCTCCCGTGCGTCCTTACCTCCTATCCTCTCAGTGTCATAGTAGATATACTTGACCATCAGTGGGGTGAACATAACGCCGACCGTCTTTCCTGGCACACCCATCTGGGCGCTGAAGGAGACACAACCAAAATGTCATCAGACAGACGCCACCCTGACATAGCCGGTCCCATACGGACAGGTTGGCTCACCTGACGTAGGCGCGGATGTTCATTTTGCCGCTCTGCAGGGCGCTGTCCACGGTCAGGTGGATGGGGTTGGAAGCTTCACGGCTGTAGTACTCGTGGATGAGCACAGAGTGTTCGGTGATATCAAAGCCTGTGGCGTACCTGGGAGGAGGAACCAATCTGTTAAAGGAACATTCCCCGCTATATTTCAAACATTGCAGAGCCGACTCACCATCCGATGATGACCTCTGTAGGCGACACTCTCTTGTGAAGGTCATACATGTTCTTGGCAAACTCCATGTCCACGGCAACCTGCAGACATCGTCGGCTTATAAGACCACTGCTGTTACATGATCGGCAATGATCGGGGCTCAGGCTACATGTCGGCCCTTTCTACCAGCCGCCCCCGCCATCAGATCAAAGCAGCTGCTTCATTCAACTGGCTAAATATACCATTACAACAGAAACAAATTACAATATAGCTTGGAATATAGTAGGACACAATTACAGCACTCCAAACAGTCCTATGCTAAATAAACATTGCACAAACTGGAATTAACCCTTTATAGGGCAAGTTAGCGTTTTGATCATTTGGATACCCCTTAAACATGGAGTCTAATTAGATGAGCCTTTGAATGATAAATTACCTACTGGTAAATAAGCTGGGAAAAAAGTTAACAATTTAAGAAAAAAAAAAAGGTTAAAAAAAAGCTAATTGAAAAGTAAAAAAAAGTAAATAAGCCTAGTTAACAATGATATTTAGGTTTATAAACTAAAAAATCTGAGTGACAGTGTCAGCATTAATGCCTCTAAGGTTATGTTGGACCAAAAAAAGGGGCTTTTGGGAGTGTTTTTCATTAATTTCTTATAAAAGCACTTTTGTTATTTTTCTTAATATCTTCGGGCAGGTTGGCGTTTCTTGTTATTACATTGGCATTCATTTTTGCCATAAAAATATCCATGTTTTTTAATGTTACAAAGGTAATAAAGTTTGGTCATGGATTCCAATAACATTAATGGCTGGAAATTTGGATTTACAAAGGATTTCAGTGAGTGCACTATAAATGGTTAAATGACCATATATTAGTGGGATATTGCCAATATATTTTCATATAAGTTACAGAAAAATAAGAAACCTGCTTTCAGGTCTGGCCAGCGAGATGACAAAACAAAATATGCAGCAAAGCAGCAGCTTAACTGCTGATGGCAGGGTTTGTAAGATTGCAAAACGCATGAGATTAAGCCACAAAAAGGAGAGAGGAAAAACTAATGTGGCTTTAAAAAACCCAAAGAGGAGGAAGACAAAAAAATAGTAAGAGAAAAAAAAAAACAACCCATAAAATGCTCCTAAGGTTTGGACTTTCAGGTGTAAATCTAAAAGATTGGAGCTGATATTTTGCTCTTCTATCGTTTTTTCCATGACTGCAGTCTGTAAGGTTACGAACAAGCGTTCCACTAATTCCTTCAAGTCAATATTTTGGTGACAAAGTTTTCACTATTTATGTTATTTACAAATATATAGTTGCAATGACTTGAATTCAATGGCCATTGATGCCTTATTAAGGCACTGACTTCTAATAATTACATGTTTAGCATCAGTTTCGGCCAAGCACTACACAATCAGAAGAGCTGTTAACATCTGGAGATTTCCATTACTTGATGGCCAGAGCACCGCATCATATCCCAGAACAGTTACTATTATTGTTTTTCTATTATTATTATTATTATTTATTTTTTTATTTTAATAGTTTTTATGGGTAATTTTTCAGAAATAAGTACTGACCTTTCTGGCAAGCACATTTTTATTTTTTGTTTACTGAGTGAGTGTTTAGAAAAATGTATTAAAAAAGCTGGAAGGAGAAGGCCTGAGCAGAATGTTAAAGGTCTGATCCAACAAACATGAAGATAAGATGACGGCTAACTACTTTATCAACTGATTAGATTTGTAAAACATGATTTTTCTAGTCCAAGAAAATTCAGCCTATTCAAAAGTTTAATGTCGTAGGGAAATCATACTTAAATGTCAAATCTTTCTGGCTTAAACATGTATATAAACGAACTCTTTATCAGACTATATTGACCCAAAAGTTAAAAAAATGTAAAAAAAAAAAAAAAAAAAGTTATCTTTTGCAGGCCAGTTAGTTATACATCAGCTTGAACACCTAAATTCAGCCAATCATATATCAACGGTCATCTGTCAATAAATTTTTTTCAATCATAGCATCTTGATTCATATGTCCCAGCTAATATTTTCAAATTATTTTGAAAAAGCATAATTGGTCATTTTTTGGCAGAGGAAATATTAATGTCTCTTCTTTCAGCCACCTGGCCAGTAATTTGTTATTATTAGTTTATTATTATTATTTTTTTAATCACACAACACAGAGCAGAGTATTATTATTATTATGTAATAATATATTATTAAAATCTATAAACATTCACACTATCAGCATACTTAGAAGGTGTTGATTTTGTACTTTTGCACTAATCTATGTCTAAAATTAAAGTGACACATAATTGTTAAATTTGAAGGAAGAACAATTAAAACTAAACTGATGCTGATTACAATCTTTTTAATTTTTTTGCGCAAATGTCACAATGTTGTCAATCCCATGCCTGCATGCAAATGTTTAAAATGCGCATAAAAAAGTAGTAACGCCTAAAAACAGAATATCACTTCCTACTCTGTCATTGTTTACTCAGGTTTATGTTAGCTTAGCTGTGTTAGCAGCTGTTAGCAGCTTACCTCATCCTCAGATTCGTTGTGAGGGACGGAGAAGCAGTTGGTCACCTCTATAGAGTGTTTATCGATGGTACCTGAGAGACACAGGCGTTAGAAATCATTTCCTGCGGAGAACAGGTCGAGCTGATGCGCCAGATGTGGAAGAGCTGACTGCATAGAGCCAGCGTGTGTTAGCAGTTAAGCTAATGCTAACAGAGCTTATCCATCATTTTCATCACCAAGTGAAAAGGCAAGAGGAGGACACCTATGTCAGCGTTTTACTTACCCAAAAGGGTTCCGATGACCCGGCTCGCGCCCTCATTTCTCCTCTCATAAGAGTCGCAGATGGAAGCGAGTACGACGGGATGGATTTTTACCACCGGCCCGAACACCGACATCTTGAAGCAAAAGGGTCTAACGGCGCCTGCAGTAAGTTGATATGCTGCCACCTACAGGCTGGCGGGTAAACTGTGCTAAGTGCCGTTCGTTGCCGAGCCGCGTTGAAGTGTCAGTTCCTTTAAATGAACGAAAGGAAGCAAACTTTCACGGTCACTGCATTTTTTATTTTGCAGATTTGCCCCTCTTGTCTGCTGAGTTGAGCGTATTTTGAACAATGCCAGAATAAAAATGCCTCATAGCTATGGAGGACCGGGAGAGTCAACGACACACACAAAAAACAAAAACAAACAAACAAACAACCATTTTAGATTTAACATTGTTAGGATAATCATCATTGATGATGTGTGAGTTTGTTACTCCTTAATATTAGCTGCCTGTTGCGTGTCAGAGCTGATGTTTTCCACAATAGTTTACAATAGTTAATTTTTAGTTAAGGCAGTGGTTATTTAATACATATAAGTTATGAATTGTTATTTAAAGAGTTTGTCCCGAGTGATCTTTTTTCAGGAAAAAGAACCGGAGAGAGGAAGCTCCAAGGTGCAGACACAGAGGCTATACAAACAGAGGGATAGGAGGACAGATAAATGGTGTTTTTCTGCATAAACAGGCAAAGATATTTGTTTAGGATCCGTTTTGGAGCTGTCAGAAATTAGAGCCAATGTGTCGGATCTCTGAAGTGAGACATAATTCCCACCACTAACGCAAATAGTGGGTCATGTTTTTTTTTTCAAGTAATTTAAATTCTGGCCACAAAAATAATTATTTATGTGTTATTTAATTAAAATTGATGCTTTGTTTTTGTAACAGTGCTGTCAGAGTAATAAGAATAATTAAATATCACTTTGATTTATCTCTGATCAAATAATATAAACCTTTTATAGTTAATTTAAACTAAATAAAATAAAAATACGTCATGATTCGGCTACATTTAGGTAATAAATGCATCATAAAGGGAAATCGGATGTTTTTTCCTCTGCAAATGCAGAGCAGCAGCCAGGAGGAGGAGGAAGAGCTTCCTCCTGTGCTGGTGATGAGGAGCGTGTGACTGATCAGGGCTGACAGGAGGGACTGCTGAGAGCATCCTCTGAGCCGCTCCACCTGACCGACTCCTTCAGAGGCGCACCGATCATGAAGCTGCCGCCGGGTTTATCCAGACTCCACCATTTCACCCCATGCTCCACAGACGCACTACGTAAAGATTCAACTTAAAGTGCAAGCGATGTCTTTTTTTTCCTTCTTTATTTTTTCAACTTGATCATTCTCTGGCCTGGCTTTGGGATTTTTATTCAGTGCGTGACCGAGTCGAGGTGCTTCTTGTTTTCCCGGAAAAAAACCGAGCAGGATCGGACTGATTCTTTCCCCGCTGCTATTATAACCAAGGAATCGATGGAAGCAATCCAATCAGTTTTTCCTTTAACTGCTCAAATATGGAGCAGATTTTCCTTAAGATAAAATAATCAGCTGGATCCGGGTCAGGTAGGATGTTTCTGACATCAATCTAAAAGCTTTTGGTTTCATGCTGGCTGACTCACAGGCACTACTGTAACAGAGGCTATTTCTGATCCATCCATCCAGCAGCATAGTGCGTCATCTTGATAGTCACTTTCCTCCTCTCTCTCCTGCTACCAGTTGCCTAAACGAAGACATAACAGCTGGGTCTGCATGAGACAACCTGGACTCCATTTTCCCCTGCAAAGATTTCAGGGAACACTATGCCTCCCTGTGCATATTTAACTCCTCTTTGGGACTTATGTAAGAAATCTCAGCAGGCATAGGGGTAGACATCCACCACATTTAAAATAGAAGCATAAGTGCCCTTACACAACATGCACACAGTGGCATGCAAGGACAGCACACACACAACCTATTTGTTTCCCTTTTTTGTGTGAAAATGGCTTAATTAAAGAGCCTCCAATGTTAATAAGCACAGCTGCGCTCCAGGATCTAGTCATCTCTCAATGCAGGATACAGGCAGTTTTATTCTTAACATGACATAAAATAGCTGTATTAACTATTGTAACTTGACTTTCCTACCTAATTTGTTTTGAAAGGCGTAAAATTATGAAATGGATGTTATTTCTTTGAAAATATTCCATGCCTTAAGCCTTTTCACATGTTTTTCTCAATGCAGACACAAACTGAAATGCTTTTGTTTGGTGTTTTTGTTGTTTTTTTATGTTAGAAGATTTGTAAAAAATTTGTAGATAAGTATGACATAGATGTCACAATCGTCCACCTAAACTAACAGGCCTAGCTATGAATGTGTAATAATAGACAGCCAGGAGAACCCGGGGGGGGGGACTATGATCTACTTAAGTACTGTATCAGAAAGAACCTTATTGTTAAAATGAAGCCGAAATAAAACCAGTTTGATTTGCAACAAGCCATGCATGGAAAAAGCAAACACCTTCAAGATGGTGCTCTTGTCAGAAGGCATCATCCACATGGTGGTGGCAGCATGATGCTGCGGGCGACAAACAGAAACAGGGACGCTTGTCGGAGTTAATGGGAAGATGGAACCGGATAAGCCTGGAAGAAAACATGGTAAAGAGGGCAGAGAAGACCTGAGACAGGGTTGAATGCTGAGCTTTCAGCAGGACAAATCTACTTTAGTACAAAATGGATGGTATAAATCAAAGCAAATTTATGTTTTAGAAGGCTCAAAAATTGATGCTTGCCTTCCTGTGGGTTTCAGCTTGAGATGCTTCGCAGATGTGCAAAGCAGATGGAGATATAGACCCCCAAAAACAGCTGTAACAGCAGGGACATGCAGTAGCCTGCTACTCTAATTACTGACTCTGGAGTTGGAATTAATAAAAATAAACACATAACTTTAAAATTTTTAAAAATCTGAACAAGAAAACCTTTGGCATAAATGTAAGAGTAACTGATGTTATAGTAATTTTAATTATCAAGTAGTATGGTACTGTTTGAATAAAATAAGGGAAGATTGATTTTGTTTTTGTAAGTTTATTTGAAGGCAAGCAACTTTCAATGCACACTGCCCCACAGAGTCAGTCAATGTCCTTGCAGCATAAGGCAGAATGTTGATGAGAAGCAGAGGAGGGTAAAACATGGCAACTTTAGATTTCTCCAATCAGGACCAGGGTAATAAACCCGACACCATTTACATGGTCCTTAAAGAATTAAGCTCCTTCACACAAATATGCAAGGTGATTAACTAAAACATACACATTTATCTACTGAGAAAACATATCATCCTCACAATTTCCCACAATGCTGACATGGATTTTTTTTTTTGTTGTTGCGAAAAACTCTAAAGGTGACAAGTTCTGTTTATGAGGACTTGATAGACGTTGAGGATATTATGGAAAACAGGAAAACCTCCAAATGAGGTGAGAGCCAGGAATCAATCATGATATCATTTAATCATTGTGTTCTCTTCCTTTATTCCAGGCTTCAGTAAAGCTAACAAATGGTCCAATCAATAGAAGCTGGACGCAGTCTGAAATAAGGAGGATATCAATAACAGCCTAATACAAAACACACGCACACCCACACCCCCTTACAGACACCCACATATAGATCATGGCGCTGGAGAACTCCATCTTCCCATCCCGCCCCGACTCCCTTGCCCTTCCCGTGGAAGAGAAGGGCGAAGGGGAGGAAAAGGAGGCGGTAACGAAGGTCATTTCTTCCGCTGGGGTCTTCAACGTTTCGGAGGAGCTGGGGCATGTCGTCACCACGCAGACGACACCTTCCCCTCCGCCCACGGCCAAAGTCAAAAGGTCTTTCCAGTCCAAGCTCGCAGAGCGGGAGGCCACCGCCAATGTGCACAGGAAGAAGACCCCGGGGACTGAGAAAGAGAGGGGGCGATTCGGATGGGGTGAGTGTGGTGACATGCTGCTGCCCTTCATCTTAAAATGTCAAACCTGTTTCTACAAAAAAATACCGGTCTTCAATTATTCCAGCTCATCTTATGACTAGTAATAAGGATGCTTGGTGCAAATACATCATTGTTGACTCTTCTTCCATCTGTCTCGATCTTCTACGACTGACTGCCCCTCTTCTTCCTCTCAGTGTTTGCAGTCGTAGCAAATCTCTATTTTGGGCTATGCAGCATTTCTTCCCCATCAGTGATTTTGACACTTCTGCAAATAATTGAGCCCCAGTCTTTACAGCCTGCCTTTATTAAAGACAGAAAAAAAATCTTAACCCAAGAAAGTGTTAAGTTAATCCAATTCAATTCAGTTTATTTGTATAGCGTCAATTCACAACACATGTCATCTCAAGGCACTTTACAGTTCACCAGATCATCCAGTCAAATTGATTCGAAGTTTTCTATCTAAGGAAAACCAGCTTATTGCATGGACTCTTTGACTCAAATGCCATCCCTCACACTAAGCATTCTTGTAGCAACAGTGGAGAGGAAAAACCCCCGTTTAACAGGGAGAAACCTCCAGCAGAACCAGGCTCAGTGTTAGCGGCCATCTAGCAATGTACCACATGTATACCAAATATATTAAGCAACCTCTAGTTTTGTTAAACTTTGGTTCCAAAGATCCAGGCTTCCTTTAGACTTAGATATATATTTTGTTATTTTGTATACACGAATGTATATAAAAAGAAGTTTTGTTTAAAATAGCTTTAGACAATTTCATTTTTTTTAAGTGCAGCCTTAAAAACAGTAATAAATACATAAAAATATATCTATATATTCTTATATCTTTAGCCTATTTTCATTTTTTACCCATTCCACATCTGGTCCTTGAATCTAACCATAGCAGGATGTTGTGCGTTTTGTGTGCTTGGTTAAAATACAGGAAAATGGGTATCCTGGAAAAAAATTGAAATCTAAATAAGTAATTTTTTCCTTAAGATAAGTCACATTTTTCTTGCATTGAGTAGGCAAGTGAGACACTTTGCAAATGGAACAAGACAATTTACATTTAAAACAAGAAGAAAAAAAACAATTACATTGTTTTATTTCAAGTGCATATTATCTTAGTATCTTATTTTAAGAGTAAAAATACTAATTCCATTGGCAGATCATCTTGTTTACCAGCCCAAATTAAGTGTAAATAAGGGTAAATTTAAGAAATGTTTACTTATTTCTAGATAATTTTTGCAGTGAACTTGCAGAAAAAAACAAGATTAACAGATTACGGGTGAGGACTAGAAAGAAAATAGCAAACATCAGACAGAAGACCCCACCATCTTTATTATGCTAAGTCTATAACTGATAGGTCTTTAGAAATCACTTTGTTTGCATTAAAATCAGTCTTCTGTTGGTCAAATTGTGTTATACTTGGATACAAATTGTGTCTAGAGGCCAGGCATCTGCTAAGGTGCCAAAACATGGTTTCTATGCTAGGTTATCTGTAATGGTTAATTCCTTGAGTTAGACTTTTCTTAAAGCCTGAAATATGTACATAGGTTTATACATGTACAAAGGTACAAGATGATGACCACAGAAAAACCAAGAAACATTTATTTATATCATAGCACCTGTTTGCGGGGAGTTCCATCAGTCAGCAAGAGAAAATCTTTTCTTTAAGATGCAGTGTTAGAAATAATGAATAATGCAATTGGAGTGACTAGATGTAATTATCAAACAGAAGCAGAAGTGAACTGAGCTAAATTACGCTATGGCTCACTGAAGCATGTTTATGTTGTTCTATCCAACATATGTGCTGCTGTAAATTGCTGGAGGAGTAAAGTGGTTCTAATAGAGAATGTCTCTCTAAGCTTGTGGTGGGATGGGGCATTCATTGCTGCAGAACAAAGCAGGGTTCCAGGTCATTCGCATGTGTGCAAAATTGTTGTTACCCCTCATTTAATGAAAGAAAACCCTACAATGGTCACAGAAATAACTTGATAATGACTGCTAGGTGACATGGTGTGTACCACACTCAACATGAAACAGAGGAAGCAAAGGAAAAGGTTGTTTCAAGAGATAAGAAAAAAAAAGAATAGACTAGCATATTAAAGGTAAAGGTGATAGGACCATCTCACAGTGTGATGTTTTCGTTACTACAGTTGCATGTATTATTCAGAAATGGGACTGTAGCCAACCTGTAGGAGTTTGGCTACAGGAGGAAGAGTAATGATACATCGAAGAAACGAGATTATGAATGGTCTTCTAGTAACGTAAATCCTATTGAGCATCTTTGGAAGGAGCTGGAACATGCTTTATGGTAAATTCACCTTTAAAAATGGAGCTTTTTGCTCATTAGGAGTGGGCCAAAGTTCCTGCTGATAAGTACTAGTTTCATGGATAGGGGGCGCCATAATTTCCTAAAGTTTATTTGTACCAAACCAATCTACGATACAAGACCTCCCCTACGGAAGCAGAGAGTGGTACTCGACTTTTTTTCCCCTTTGCCTTCTCGAGACAATGACTTTTTAACTATCTTGTTGTCATGGTTAAAAAATTATTTGTTTTCTTAAGATAACAAGATAAGTATCTCGTCACGAGAAAACAATTATTGATTTCTTGATTTAACAAGATGATTAACCTGTATGTGTAACGAGTGCGGCTGGCCAACAGCCCTGGATTCCCAGTCCATGCATACCTACGGTGCCTGTAGTTGTGCGGTCGTGGTACGGTGTGTGCGCAAATATTTATTTTTTTAGTTTCCCATTTCTTTTCACTCATTGTCAGGTTGTTCAGAAAACATCGGAGCTCAGGCGCCAGATGTATATGGGTCTAATTGCTTATGAACCACAAGTGGAAGAACACAGGATTATTTACAGAATTACAAATAGGCTGCCACGACTTATACTTATAAATCCTCTCCCGCTGTTGTGATATTAAAGGATGTAATGAGTTTTAACACAGACCAATCATTTCACACCAATTTGTTATCTTTAGAAAATGAGAAAATTAACTCGTTTTCTCGAGAAAACCACCGTAAAAAGTATCTGAGGAACCCGACCGCTCTCGGCTTCCGTACTCTCCCTTAAGAGATTTTCTTAACATTATGAAATGTGGGCGTGGCTTATATGCTTACTCACATTTGACCTTAGAACCTGGCCTGTTTTTGCGGGAACTCAAGGAAAACTATATGCCCAGTATAAAATGCGGTCTATCAAATACGATTTGTCTGACCACTAGGTGGGGCTGTTTCACCCCAAAGTTTGTTTTGGTGTATTTCTCAACTTTTTGCTGAAGTACACAATTTTTCTATTCCTTTGTGTTAGATAGATGTTCACAAAGTTGTGAGAGCTGTTGCTTAGGTTCACTTTAAAATAGTGCCAGAACGTTTAGCTCCTTGGAAGGTCGGTAACAACTCCTTGGGGGATGTAGCACATTTAATAAAACCTTTCTCGTGGACGTCTGACAAAAAGAGTTTCACTGCACCCACGTGTGTGAATGGCTCAGTATATCCGTTTGGGTATTCAACCACACGGTAAAATAATATTTAGAAAATATTATTTCTATACATTGTTTATAAATCTAAGTACTATTCTCTGGAATTTATTTCATGTATTATATTTAATGCTTGTATTTCAGTTCATATCTCTTTTTGTATGTAGCAGCTTGTTTTATTGGTCTAAGAAGCTCCAGTAGTCATGTCTTTCTTAGGGCATTTTTGAGAGAAGTGCTTTTTCTCCCTTTTGATCCAAAATATTAGCAATTGTTGCAAATATTAAAAATCATTGCTGGAGTGTTGACCTAGGGGGTTAGAGCAGTGTGTCCCTGATAACGTTGCGAGTACCCGGTTCGATCCCCACTGTCTCCGCTCTGGGTTACAGAGCAAGACCGTTGACCCCCGATTGCTCTCAAGGCGCCACAAAATGGCAGCCCACTGCTCCCCAAGGGGATGGGTTAAATGCAGAGGTAAAAATCTCCAACGTGAGATCCAATAAACTTCAATTATTATTATTAATGTAATTCTTTAAACCCACCTGTAAAGGGCAGTCAAGTGTGTAACAGTAATATTTGATGCAATAAAAGTCTCGCTCAGACTTTGATCACCTTTTAGTGTGTTATTATCATGTGCTATTAGCTCTCTCTTGTAATTTTTCTTCTCTGAGTGTTTGATGATGTTGTCCTGTCACACATCATCTGCTCTCCAATCCTCATCTGTTTTATATCTATTTTCTCTCCTTCCTCCTTTGAGCAGCACGGTCCCCTGCCACCTGTTTTCTTTTATCTTCTTCATTCATCTGTATTATCTTATCTTCTGAGTCCTATTTGTACTTTCGGATTCATTCCGAGTTTAGAGGGTGATCCTTAAGCCTTGTACGCCTTGACTTTTTATATGTATTGTGTGTCTCTTCTATTAGCCAGGGCTCGGCGTAAGAGGCAGCGCTACGTGGAGAAGAATGGCCGTTGCAATGTGCAGCACGGTAACATGCGGGAGACGTACCGCTATCTGACTGACATCTTCACCACGCTGGTGGACCTCAACTGGCGCTGCTCGCTCTTCGTCTTTGTCATGGCCTATGCTGTCACGTGGCTCTTCTTTGGTGCTATCTGGTACCTCATAGCCTACTGTAGGTAAGGTTAATCAGCAGATAGTAGTGATGTTATGAGATGGGCTTCGAAACGCGTGTCAAAAGATTAAACACATTACTTCAAACCAATTAAAACCAAAAACTGGAAAAACTATTATGTTTGAATAGAAATGACTAACACCTTCATTTTGCTCAATTTGCACAAACACTTTCACTGACTGTGAGCTTATTTCAATAAAATGGCAGTAAAACTGTGTACCTAAAATGATTGTTCTCTTCTAGGACATTTTACACACAAAAAAACATTTTATTATACAGACCAATCATTAACAATTTCATAGGAACTTAAATAGGAAAAAAACAAGAAAAACTTGTATTACTAACTGTAGTTATGCACTCCATAAGTAGATGGTGACAAGTAAACATGAAGCCTCATCAAATCCACCATCACTAGCAGATAGTTTCAGATGTCTTTGGGATGAGCTCTAGTTACAAATTTCCTTATTGAATAATAACACTAGCAGCATGTATATTATGAAATTATGTTAAAACATAATTTGAAAATGATGCTTTTCAAATTTGCCTGTATCTGGCCATGTTTGAATAGATGACCAGAGAAAGGTCCAAGAGTAATACGAAGGGAGTAAGTTACCACTAGTAGATAGTTACCACTTGACATCACATCCGGTGTGCAGCAGAAAAACATCACCATTGTAATATTATAAAGAGTCTGGTTGCAGTTTCTCTCTTAAACATTGCATTTAAATAAAACATCAAGCTTTGTGTAGTGTTGCGCTCAAGAGTGTACTATTCAATTCAGTTTATTTATATAGCGCAAATTCACAACACATGTCATCTCAAAGCACTTTACGGTTCACCAGATCATACAGTCAGATTATCATACAAACAAATCTGATAAATCAGTAAGCGTTTCCATTATATACAGAGAATTAGAGAAAGGGAATGTGAGCACAGATTTGCTCTGATCACTTTTTAGTGGTAAAGAAAATGTTTCAGAAATGGAGCTCTAAAAGCTACATCAATTTAAGCAATGGTAATAAGAACAGAAACACATCATATTAAATAAGAAAAAAGATAATATTGTGTTAAATTTACATTCTTTTTAATTTTGAAACAGTCATTAAAGACCTAAATGTATATAAGACCTATACAAGCAAATATTAATTACTTAGAAAAACAGCAGTTTACTTACCTAGCATTATTTCCATTTTTCACTTCCTATGGATCTTGTAGTGGTGATTGTTTGCGAAGCCAAACATCCAATTAAAGTTCCTTTAAGCTACTACTAAGGCAGTGGGGTTAAGTTTCTATACGCAGGGAAAATGAAGGGTTAATGTCAAAGCTTGATGATGGTTCTGGATGATTTATTTTTTATTTTCACCAACAGTTATAGAGTTCAATCATTTCTTTTATCCTCAACCCCAAAATGCCTGCTGGTTCTTTCCCAGACCCCTACATTTATAAAATGTGGACTTATCCACATCACTTCCTGTCATACCTCAGAACAAAAAATAAAATAAGAAAAATAATAAAACAAAGATGAATAGATTCAACAATTATTAGTCTGAAAATAAACTCTCTAAATAATAAAAAAAATCTAAAATTAGGAATGAATACAATCCAAATGGATAAAGAAATAAAGAGTAAATAGCTCCCAACAGATCCGTACAATTAGTAGCTTTGTTTGCTTCATGACTTTATAAGAATGGATCATCTAGCATGTCTCTGCAGTTTGATTCAGCACTTGAAAAAGCCAAAGCTAATGATAACAACGAATACATAATGAATATAAGCCTTGGTAATTCCATCCATGTAATGCAATGTCTGTTTAGTTTTCAGTTGTCCAGAACCACCAGAAACAAGGTGTCATGGTTTGGTAAAGGTTTTGGTTGAGGACCCAATTGCAGAGATGAGGAGGCAGAGATGAGTTCTTGCAGATTTAATTTAGGTTCAAAGGAGGCAAAATAAAGAAACCAAACACCGGGAGACGCCAGTGAGAAACAACATATGGGGAGCAAAGGATAATATATTGGAGACAGAACCAAGAGTGGAGTAATCAGTTAATTGAGGGCAGGTGTGGACAGAATCAGCTAGAAAGGAGCCAAGAGGCAAAGGAAACAGGCACAAGGGGGTGACAGAGTGTTAGACAAAACACAACACTGCCAGAAAACCACTACTAAGACACAAAAATACAGCGAAACTGAAAAGAAACCTAAAAAACGGTAGAACCCTGACACAATGAGCATTAAGGACATTAGACCTGTAAATTATATCTTATGTTAATTAGTACATTTTTAACTTACCTTCATATCACGCATCCCAACATTCCCCTCCCAATGAAATTCTCAATTGTTTCCATTACTTTCCATAACTTACCACACATTAGATGTAATACAGTAAGTGCATGTAAATAGACAGAAGCTGAACTAATAAGCTAATTCAGATAAAAGGTGTTACTGTGTGTGAGGTATTTAGATGATTAGTGGAATCTTCATTAATTCCCTGTTTTCCTTACCTCAGTTACCCACAGATAAAACAAAAGATAATTCAAGTGCCTCTTAGGCTGAGCATCATATTTTGCTGACTGGTAAAACAGTGGCATCAATCCTTTGGGGAAGCTTTTATCCAAGCGGTTAACGTTAATGTATTCCGAACCGTCAAAGATATTAGTTTAATCATCAGAAGATGGTGAGGCATTTAAACATCTGCGCTTTGAGGTCCGGCTGAAAACGGATGACCATGCAAATATAAATGTTGCTGTGTATTTCATCATGACAGGGTTACTCTTCCCTCTCGTGTGTCTTCTGGAACCAATTAGCTAACATGGTCTTTTAGGAAAATGATAACCTTTATTATATCCGCCCCAGACCACCCTTAAGTGTTGCTAGAGCGTTTTCTGTGATGCTTCACTTCTTTGGTCATCGACACAGTTCGATAAAAGTCAAAGATTATATAAAGCCCCTTACACCACTCCGGTTAATTAGCTCTGCCTGTCCTGCTGGAGCAATAGTAATGATCAACATTAACCCATGTAGTGTGTTTTGAAAGGAAGCTATGCAGACTCTTGGGGGGGGGTGAATAATGTCTGTGATATACTGGGAGGATGTGATGTAAAGGGTATTAGATTTTTGCAGAGTGGGAGGAAAAAATGACAGCGTACACGTCAGGTTAATCACCCAGCATAAATCTGAGTAGGATTTATTTTGTTGAGTATAAAGGAGAGCTGAGTGGCCATGTTTATACTCCTGCACATACACTAAAAATAATGAGAGAAAAAAAATAAAAACCTCTCTGTTTCTTTTGACACCTACTTTTGTCGCTGCACTCTGCCATTTCTCACACATCCCCCTCCTTTGGCTCTCAAAGGGGGGATCTGGACCATCTGGAGGATGAGGCGTGGACGCCGTGCGTGAACAATGTCAATGGTTTCATATCAGCCTTCCTCTTCTCCATCGAGACAGAGACCACGATTGGCTACGGATACCGTGTCATCACCGATCAGTGTCCAGTGGGAACCATGCTGCTGCTGCTGCAAGCCATACTGGGATCAATGGTCAATGCTTTTATGGTGAGCAAGAAGACTGGAACAAAACTGTAAGGCATATTATGTACTGTAATGCTATACAATCATAGGATTGCACATTTAAGTATTACACGGCTATTGGAAACCAAATAATACGACTGTGTTAATTGTATGTTTATAAAGCAGCAGTATTTGATAAACGTCAATCTAATGACTTAAAAAAAAGTTGCTTCAACTTCCTCAAGGTGACAAGAATAGTAAAACTGAAATAATTAATTTGGGGACTGTTATTAGTGAATTACACTTCCTAAGTGGAACAACTCAGCCATGTTCAATAAATGAGAATCATATTTCCTCTGTTGCTAAGCAACAGAAGTAATTGTCGTAAGTATTGTTGTACCTTTGAGTAAAACTGTACAAATAATGTTTAATATCTTTTGCATTATGAAGCAGAGCATAATAAAAGTCACCTGTTTCTCAATAGACTTTTAATGCAAGTAAGAACTGCAACAGACAAGAAAATATAAAATGGACCTTAATTGGTGCCTCTGTGAAAAAAAAAAATCACATGGCAGTAAGTCAGTTTAATTAGACATATCGAAGCAGGGAAGAAAACTACTCTGGAAGTGAGCTTCAGTTGCTCTATTTACATGCACAGAATTCAAAGGTTTAACTTAACCTACAAAAATGAGCTCTAACATATGTCTATTGAATCCTTTCCTATTGTTGATAACACTTGTTGAGAACTACAATACACTAATATTTTTATTTATAGATAGTTAGAGAGATGTCTTTTAGTGCATTATATATATAGGACCCAAAAACATTAATGTATAAAAAAAATAACGAATAACAGCCGATTCTGATTCCAAAATCATGCTTCCCTAGAAGTACAATTCCAATTCCCTCCTTCCAGAAAAATATGGATACGCTAAATTTTAAATGTATAATAGCATATATTTTTTTCTTGTAAACTTTCTGGTAAACTTGGAAATATATTTTATTGTGTGTTGCATATCCCAGTAAATCACCTTTAAATCTGCATCTCTCCCTACTTCTCTCTGTGCTCTCTTTAAAAAGATTTATGAACCTCTTTACTGATATAATGACGCAAGAAACAAAATTTCAAGATGTGCAGAAGTTCTGCAGTCTGATTCTGTCTGTTCAATAAGAAAATGTGTTATTTGTAACCTGTAACTAGGAGTCATGGTCCTCTGAGAAGCCAAGCTTTTTTTAAACTAGTAAAGAAGAACAAACTACGTTTTCTCAAGCTTCTTGCAACTTAATACTAACTTGCATAAACTTACAATTTGTTGCTATTTTTAGCTGTAACAGCTCTGTATGTCAAACAAACATATTGGTATGATTTTTTAACCAATCGGTCTCCTAACTTTTACTTAAACACCAAAGTAGCTGCTGGTTAATATTCACTGAGCGCTGCTGTGTGCTCCTCCAACCATGTAGCGACTCTCTACGCAGTGAAATGCGAACGCAAATCCGATGTCTCAAAGCAACAGATCCGATTATGTTAGACCAATAGGCGGGACATGGGACTAGCGTGAGAGATGAAGAAAAACACGGACTCAAAACGCTCTGAATACAGTTAGCTGCACCCAACCTCTGTTTACTTTAAAGTAAATGAGTGAAAAAGGCGGAAAAAAAAGCGGTAATTATTTGTGGGGACTGTCCCCACCAGTCCTTAAGAAAGTTACGCCTGTGGCAGAATTTCCGTGATCCAATGTTGACAGACAGCAGACATGGATTTGATGGCCTATAATATAATTTAAGCCATTGTATGTTATATTGGATTATTTCAAATCTTCTTGAAATTAAAAATATCTTTAATATAAGACATTGTGTGAACATTTAACTGAACATGTAAAGGCTGAAGGACCAGGATTTTATTTGAAAGGAATTTAAATTCATATAAGTTGAGGGATAACTGAGAGGAACAGGATGATGCAACAAGAACATTAAAACAAACATGATATCAAAATGGTCCCACATGGCTGAAACCTTTCCTCCGCCTTTAAGCTGCTCCAGAGTTCTAGATGAATTTGATGATCAAACTCAAAAGATCACAGATTCTTTTTTGGCATCCCGTTGAGAGATACGCTCATAAACCCAGTTTAGCGCATCAGAGTCAGTTCGAAAGAGTCAGGTGATTTTCTTCCAGCGATACGCACACTGACACTGACTGGTTTTGCTGTTTAGATTTGTTGCTTTCTTAAGGCAAAATCCTTAACATTTTTATACTAGAAGCACTGATATGATTTGAATAAGTTCACACACCAGCATCAGGGCTAAATCATGTTTATGCATGTCTTAAAAATGGGAAAAAAGCCATATTCAGCACTGATGGACACGTGGGATGTTTCGCTGTGCATATTCAAAATGTTTCAGTCTGAGGTTAATTCAAGTGTCACTATTGCTTTAAACACTGAAAGCTGGAAATAGCCCTATTGAGAAAAGCTCAGCGCAGTCTGTATTCAGCAGCTACAATATAAATGCTGCAGCTGCACATCCAGCATCAGCATCATTGGACTGTTTAGCTGACGAGTTAATTATAAATGCTGAACAACAAGGGTTCCTTTTAATTTTTTATCTGTCCTCTGCATTTCCAGCTGAAGCAAATATTCTCTGCTTCTATTTCCTGTGAAAGGTTCTGATCCTGTTTCTTCCTCTCTCCCTTCTGTCTAGGTCGGCTGTATGTTTGTGAAGATCTCACAGCCTAACAAACGAGCTGAGACACTGGTGTTCTCCAAGCACGCTGTTATCTCCCTTAGAGATGACAAGCTCTGTCTGATGTTCAGGGTGGGCGACCTTCGGAGTTCTCACATTGTGGGAGCAAATATGAGGGCAAAATTAATCAGGTCCAAGCAGACTCAAGAGGGTGAGAAGACATGGGTGAAGGAAGATGACGATTAAACAAATGATGAATAAATAAGTTTTCATTTTGTTGCTTTTTTTTGGATTTAAGAAGTTGTTTTCTTATCTCCTCCAGGAGAGTTTATCCCTCTTGACCAGACAGACATCAGTGTGGGTTTTGAGACGGGTGATGACCGACTTTTCCTTGTTTCTCCACTGGTGATCTCTCATGAAATTGACTCCCGGTCCCCCTTCTGGGACATGTCGCAGGCTCAGCTGGAGAAGGAGGATTTTGAGATTGTGGTCATTCTGGAAGGAATGGTCGAAGCCACTGGTGAGACCTGTGCATTACTTCTATCTGTGATCCTGAATGTTTAGTGGAAATAATCTTTTAATTGAATTGTTATGCAAAGATTCATAACTTTCACTGAATAGCCCTAGAGCAGCAACTTCGTATTCATCTGAACCTGTAGCAAAAACTAGAGGTGATCTTTAGCTTCATCAGCCAACCATACATTTTTTAAGACATGTCAAAGCATGAGTTCTGCAAATCAGCGAGCCAGTACTGTATAGTACTGCATATGTTACCAATGTTACAGAAATACAAAACAAATATGAGCAATGAAATATAAATAATATTACATAATCTCATGCTATGCTGTGCAGATGTTCTGTCTGCACTGATGAAGCTGAAACATGCTGAATACTAGGATTAGCTGACACGGCCGGGGAGTTTCACTAATTTACAGATTAATTGAACTCATTAATCATCTGATCACTTGGAGACACTTTTATATTTTTGCATTGAGCTTCTTTATTCTAAAATGTTCACATGATCCTATGGTAGCATAACAATTACATTATATTGCATATATATAAATATATAGATACATAGTTTTAGTGCAAATAAATTCTTTGTTACAACTACAATTTTTATATATCCTTGAAATGAAAACTAATTTTACTATAACAATTTTTAATAAAACCTATAACAAATAGTCATTAAGGAAACCTTCTGATGCATGCAACTATCTAATATCACATGTGAAACCAGCACTCTGACTCATTCATTGGGAATATGGAAGGCATTAGGATGTCTGTTTTGTGAATTATATTATTATATTTCTCTCCCTTACAGACTAAGTCTGTTTAAGTTGTTTGTTTCAACTTTAAACATTTTAAATAAGCTGTTTCTCGTTTGTTTATTTCTAAAATATTTTATGTTAAAATCATTCAAAGGGAATTATACATTTGGCAGTTATTCTGTCAGTTCGACAAGAGTTTGGTTTATGGAAGCTATTCAGGATCTGTGTCAGTGAAGTAAATATGGCCTGAGTCTCCTCTCCAAATATTGATTCCTTTAGTCACAGGCTTGTGTTGCAAAGATTTAGTTGTGACTCTGGAAAGATTTCTCTCACAGAGATCCTCAATCACCTCTTTAATAATCTGATTTATAGCTATTACCTGAATTAAATGGCTGAATTACCTCCTCAGTATGCAGTCAAATTCTCCAGAGTCCTGTAATAACCTGATTATTTGAACTCTGTTGAAGCAGAGACACATCTCAAAGGTACAGGACACCGGGCCTCAAGGAGAGGCTTTAAATACCTCTGCATTAGACCAACTGCTGCTATTCAATGACTACTTCCTAAACACCAGGGATATTGGTTTTAAGGTCTGCAGGTGTGTTTGAACATGGCCAGGGTGGAAAGACATCAGCAATGATCTAAAAGAGGCTGCTAATGTTGCCCATGATGGAGAAGGTTATACTACCGTTTGTCTAACAATTTAAAGTCCATAATCCTACAGTAAAAAGGATTATTTGCATTCACCAATCTTCTCTGGAGTTCTTATTCCTGCAAATTCCCTCCACATTCAGAGCACACAATGCTCTTGGTGTGCTACATATACCAACTAGAGCTCCACCTGGGAGTCAAAAAGCATCAGTTTCATACTTGATTTCAAGGTTAATACATCCAAACCTTAAAATAGCCTGACAATGCCTAGGTTTGCTAAGTTGCCTTTGAAGGAAACACAGGGATACTGGAACTAAAATCTTTGGTTAGATCAGAACACAGTGTACAGGTCTGGAGACAATCAGACAAAGTTAGCACAATAACTTTAAACCAATGATAAAGCACCCCAGTGGAAGTGTATTTTGCTTCTTTTCTTTTCTTTTTTACTGCCACAGTTATTTAGCCAGCCTGTGGAGATAATTGCAAGATTATCTGTCTAATTACAAAAAAACCTTTACAAACAGGTTCAGGTGAGCAAACATTGGAAAAAACTATCTAGATATAAGTAAAAATTCCTTAAATAAAGTGTATTCAACCTTAATTTTAGTAGGTAAATTAGATAGTTTGCCAATGGAATGAGTATTTTGACTCTTGAAATAAGGTAATTAGATAACATAACCTTGAAATAAGACAATGCAATTGTGTTTTCTTATTTTAAATGCAAATTGTCTTGTGCCAGTGGCAAAATGATTCTTTTACCTCCTAAATCCAAGAACAAGTGCACTTATTTTAAGAGAAAATTACTTATCTAGATTGTTGTTTTTTTATTATGACAAAAGGTTGCCTGCATTTTCCTGGAAAAGATAAGAGAAGCTTATAAATCCCTCAGAAAACAGTCTGCTGATAAACATTATTGCTGAACATTGTTAAACAAGCTACTATGGTTTGTACTTCATTTTCACTTTCATAGCTTTTCAAATGTGACATATTCCTTTGGTTTGTGGCATGTTTAGGTAAACTTAAGCAAGAATGCAAGTACAGGGGATCCCTTTTATCGTGTCCTAATACTTAAAATCCTTAAATACAAAGAGAGTGTTTTTTCTTTCCAAGCCTCAAATACATCAATGCTTTTGCAAAATCACCAAATGAGAATGGGGAAACCTATTTCTACTTTCCTCATGAGTTTGTTTATGTGTGCAGGTATGACATGCCAGGCGCGGAGCTCCTACCTGGGGGAGGAGGTGTTGTGGGGTCACAGGTTCAGCCCCATGATGCTGCTGGCAGAAGGCTTCTTTGACATTGACTACGGAGCCTTTCATCACACATTTGAGGTACTTATTCCCAAATCAATGTTTTATCACTAACTATTCTTTCACGATTATTTGACTGTATGAATGTTCTTGTTGGTACTTAAATAAAAAGAATAAAAATACATGTTTATTTGCATTTGGACCTATTCAATAAAAAGCAGATTTAAATAAAGTTGATTGAGGCAAATATTAAGCGTTTATATTGCACTATTCTTACAGGCCTTAGGAGTTTTCAAACTATAAAACATATTTAAACTCTTTCAGCTTTGTTCTTTCCCCTACCTACGTCAAATACTTAATATTCACACTCTCATGGGGTTACTGACAGGCGTGCTGGGAAATGTAGGAAGTTCAACCTTCTTTTTTTTCTTTTGCAGCTCAAAGTCTTTTAAAAGAGGCGACTTATGGTTTAAAAAACACCATAATTACAACCAGAACAGCATTAACTATTCTGGGCATGTTTGAAAATGTTGTTGATGGGTTTCCATGCTGCGCATTCTCCTAGAAAATACTATTCCTGGATACTGAACATAAAAGCTATCAATAAATTATTGAGCTCTGTTGAGACACCTATACCTCCACCTACCAATCTAATTAGTGATATTTGTTAATGGTTTCTGAGGAAACACACAGTGTCTTCTGATGTAAAAACCTTTTCGACAGGAATTAAACTATTGTGGGTAAGGGAGGAAGCTTCTGATTGCTGTATTAAAACCAGCTTCTGGCCTTCCAGACCTCATTTTGTAACAAAAAAAAACAAAACATGGATGGTTCTTGTATAATTGGGACTACAGCCTTCCGAAAACAATTACAAAAAATAATCTAAAGTTACACAAATGTAGCAAACGGCTAAAAATCTCCATTATAAAACACAAAACATATTAAGGTAAATACATTTGCATGTGTCGCACAGAGTACTTCTGCACACTTCGGCTTTGGTTTAAGAGTCATTAACTGATTTGCTGTATTCCTACTGAGCCTTGGTTTTCACCTTTTCCTTACATGATTCCCCTTTTGTACCCAGCAATGTCAGGGTTTAGTTGTGGTTTGAGGACCCAAATGCAGAGGCAGAGTGAGGAGATTTCTTTCAGTTTAATGGGGCAAAAAAGTAAACAAAGGCAGGAATGCAAAAATCCAACTAATAATGAAAAGCAAACCAGAACTATGGAGACATCTGGGGAAACCAAACACTAGGAGTAGTGATGGGCTATCTGAAGCCAGGCTTCGAGGCTTGTACCGAGTAATAAGGGGGCGTGTCAATGAAGCCCCGCTTCGAGGCCTGTGTTGTCTTGTTGAAAACCACGTGACTGGCAACAAACGAGGCCTCGCATTGCATTGGTCACGTGACTGCTTCATTTTGCGTGTCGGTTTTCAAAATAAAAGCGCGATGAATCCTGTTGCTTTGTGGGTTGTAGTAGGTGGTTTGGTCTCAGCAGAACAGTTTTCATCAGCAGTGGTTGTAATGGAGCCGTCAAAAAAGAGAAAAACCTCTCATATGTGGGAGTATTATGAGATGACAGATCACAATCACAACCTGAAACAGTGAAAAAAGTCATATTCCTAAATAAAAACAATTAAACCTAAAATCCAGAAATTTCTATATTTTCTTTTGTTTAATCAGGAGATGCATCAGAATCACACATCAAAACCAGACTAAAAGCCATTAGAAGAGGCAAACTCTATGTGTAACTTGATATTAAGAATCAGAACTAGAACTCCTAGGAAGAGATGATTTTAAACAAATTCTGTCTTTAAGGAAGCAAGTTTCAAGCTCAAAGTATACAGAGTCTGCAGCAACAGTCACTCAGTTCTCAATACATTAAAGTAACACATATCTTCATTGTCTAATAAGTCCATGTCATAAAAGAAAACCTAACACCACCACTGATGGTCAAGGATTAGATTGGCTACAAATCATTTTAATCATTAAAACATGACAATTGAATAGGATTCTCCTCTTACTAAACATGAGTTTGATGAAAACTTTGTGACAATATTGCATTTCCTAATATTTGGAAGTATGATCCAACTGAGTAACAAGGCTGTTACAGTTTCACCAGCAGATGTCACTAGTGAGTGATGAATGAAGCATCGAGTAATGAACTTTTTTCAACACTTTGCGTTGGAAAGCTTCATTGCTTCATGAGGCTTCACTTGCCCATCACTAACTAGGAGCCAAGGAGAGACGAGGAACGTGAACAACAGCATGGGAGGACGGCAAAGACGAGGAACCAACAAAGAGTGAGAGCAGAGGGAGAACAGATATAGCTGACAGAGACAAAGGGAGGGCTAACGAGCTGACAAGGAGCAGGTGTGAGAGGAGACAACGAGGGAGCCAAGGAGAAAGAAACACACACACACACATAAGAGGACAACAGAAGAACATGAGAACTAACATAAATCTAGAAATAACAAAAAAGGAATTAAACCAATAAAACTAGGAAACATGGAGCAAAGTAAAGAACAATAGAAACAAGACCATGACAAGCAATGGTTCCGTTCTGCTCTGTGCTTTTAGTTCTTAGTGTTTTCGTTCATTAATTGGTTAAAAGGTTCTTTCCAGCTTACAACAAAAACACGCTACAGGTTTCTGCATGGTTTTAGACTTGGCTTGGGTCCATTACAGTTCCATATATCTTAATATTAAAAATGTCTTTTTTCAAATTTTTCATGTTTTTCTCTTTTTTGCTTTTTTCATGTGAAGATCTAAAGAGTCTTTCAAAGAAAAAAGAAAACTAATTTAAATAATAAATTATAAATTCTTTTCAAATATTACTATTCAATGCACTTCATCATAATGAAGCATAAAGGTACAGTTCATGAAAATTGAAGTGTCCTAACTTCATTGCAGTAAAGAATAATGTCTCACCCAACTACATGTTGGCTAAAGAGAATTGCAACGTTCTGCCATCTTTAGACAATTTCAGCTAATTAATTAAACTCTATTGTGAATTTTACATAAAACATAGATGCTAGATGATCTGGTTTACTAAGAAAAAGTGAGGTAGTTTGGAAAAACACCAACACTTCGGAAAAGTGGTTAGGGCGTAAAGCTTGGAATCCTGAGGTTCTGAGTTCGAGGCCCACTCCCACAAACTGCCACTCTGGGTCCCTGAGCAAGACCCTTAACCCCACACTGTTCCCCGGGTGCCCTATGATGGCAGCCCACCGCTCCCCAAGGGGATGGGTTAAATCCAGAGGCAAATTTCTCCAATTGGAGATCAAGTTTAATTATTGTTATTATTATGGCTGGAACTTATGAAGACATTGTGTTTTGCAGAACATCTTTAACATGGGTAATTTCTAAATGCTGTGATGGGTTTTTAATTAAAAACTGTTTTCATCCTGGTTTTTGCATAATACTGATAAAAAAAGTGCAGCTTGCAGCATCTGTGCTATACCTACACTGTCTATTAGATATATTAGGGATAAAAGAAATAGATCTGAAAAACAATCTGGATAAATCCCTAAGTTTGGAATTTTGAAAAACTTAAAGATATGAAGGGCTTCTCATAAAATCTACATCAAATTGCTGTCATAAGTTTACACTTTTTAAATGGACTTTGATCTATCAATACTTCAATTAAGCTTTTTTAATGTATGTAAGTTTGGTTTCTTTGTAAGTGTGTGGCCAGGTTTTTGTTACCTTGTGGGGGCGATTTCCCAGTAATATGTTACATTTTGGGGGTTTGTATGTACTTGCGGGGATCAAAGACTGTTTCCCATAAGGAAAGGTTCTGTTCTGGGTCTGGGTTAGGCCATAGAAGTGGGTGGGAAATTAATGGAAGTCAATAGAAAGTCCCCACAAGTATAGTGTAAAGAAGGAGCTGTCTGAGTCCTTACCTGAACTTGGAGAACTTAATGAAATATTTCAATTGATTGGTTTTATTCACTGATTCTCCAAAAAGGTTCAATTGTTTATTCAGTTCAATTGGCATATAACCATTTAAGAATCGATGTGTTCATAATTTGGCTAAGGCAATTTCTTTGTGACATTTTCTAAAAAGTCCCTAAAAGGTCAAACCAATGGTCTTTTTGTTGAGTTTTTTTTTAACAACTCACCTTCCTCCACGCCCACCCAGGTGGACACGCCCTCCTGCTCGGCACGAGAGCTCGCTTTGGCCGCGGCCAGACTGGACGCTCACCTCTACTGGTCCATCTCCAGCAGGCTGGATGAAGAGCCCACGCTTACAGAGCAAGCCGCCAAGCAGCCGGACAGCAGCTCGGCCAACAGCAGGACAGGAGAGCCGATCTTCACCATCGGGGAGATGACGGACATCCAGGAGCAATCCGCTCTGGGGGAGCTGAACGGCAGCATCACCACCGATCAATCTGAAACAGAGGCCTAGAACAGAGAATGTTTACAAAGAACCTTTAGTATATCACCACCACTTCATAGCTGTTTTAAAGACTCTTTTCGAGGCAGATGAGGAGTTTCAATCGACCCACAGGTCCCGCAGTAAATGCCATAACCTTGTGTTACCTTATACAAATGTTTATTTTTTAATATTTGTCTTTAATTTGTTATGAGTGTGCTCTATGTGCATATCTGATGATTTGTTGTATTCGCTCTAATCACCCTTGCCTATATCTACTTTCAAATGACAATACTATGCTTCAGGTGGGATAACAGTCCGTCCTTTGGACAGAGAAAATGTTGCACAGGCATTAATTTGTCTTTTCTGGATGACGTTCGGTGATTTTAAATAAAAGTATAATAATTGTTTCCATTTAAAATAGGTACAGTGCATAGATGCTTTACGGTCAACTGCACAGTTTTAGATAATATAGAAATACAAACTTTTTTAGATTCAAAGATTAAGTTAGAGTTGAGAAATTACATGGTTAAATAAACATTTCTCTTTTTTATTTGGCTAGAAACTTTTATTTAGAGCTAGTAAGTTGTTTAGTAACGGTTTTGTTGAACAAAAACATATAGAAGAACATCAGTGGTGTAGATCCTGCCGTGATATAAGCACAAAGGGCAGAGTTATTTAAAAACACTTATATACATTTAATAAAATTACTATATTTCAAAACATTTGGTGAACAGACTGTCTGAAACCTTTTTAAAAAGGGTCAACGTCCAGACATCTGTTATATAAACAGGCATTTTCAAAAGGTTATTGCTTTGGTAACAAAACAAAGTAGCTTTTAAATTTTAGGGTGGCAATAAAATAAAACATTAAAAGTAAAAATATAGACCCAAAAGTTTCAGGAACTTTCATTATAAACACCAGAAAGAATAACAAGACCCAATCTTAGCATCTTGTCATCACAAACAATAAATCTGGATATTAAAGAGGTCATTTGTAAATTACAGGAAAGTCATCTATGAATTACCTGGATATCCCAGACAAGTTATAAAAGCCAAAATCTTTAAGTATCATAATTTTTATGTGAATGTTTAGAAAATAAACTATTAATTCAAGGAAAGTATTCTGCGATGGTAAGACTGGGAAAAGTAGCCTGCAAATTTCAGGAAAGTAGTGTCTTATTTCCATTAAAGCAAACTGTAAACCCCTATGTCCCGGAAAGTAACATCAGTTTCATTAAATTGATTTAAAAGTTACCTTTTTTTCCCCTTTAAGAAACCTGTACAATAAGATTTCTGTAAAGTATCATGTAAGTTCCTGCCATTTTCCCTCGAGTTACAGAAACTGATCATTTAATTTTAAGTTCTAAAAAAGTTGTTTGGAGGATCTGGAGAATTAAAAAACTCATTATAACTTCCACCCAGAATTGCCAGTTTTTACACCTGATTTCCTTCCTGACACAACCTGATTTCAACCCCTGGTCCTCCATGTCAAATATGCAGACTTAACGGTAACAAATGCCCTGAAGATTTATGGGCTGTGTTTTTGTATTGCTGCCTTACATATTTCTTTGGTTTTATTATTTTGCTGCCATGTATTATCTAAAAGCACAACGATGCCCTGCTCATTTCTGCCCAAATTCCTGCTTCTGCTGCTGTGTATATATGTACGTGGCCTGTTTTTACTCAATGTTTTTAATATTTAAAAATAGCACATCAATTAGAATGAATAAACTAAACTATATTCCAGAGAATGTGTTTTAGATTTTGTGGATACAATGCAGAAATGGAAATATCCCTCATCTGCAAACTACACATTTGTTTCACTGCCCTTAATGAGGCAGTAGTAGCAAATTCGTTTAAACAGGTTCATATATTTTACTTTTGCGTTTTTTAAATGGATACGGTGGTAATGGTAAAGGTGTTTCCGTTCATTTATAAAAATATAAAGAGGAATAAATAGCCTCAGGGAAAGAAAACAAATCATTAGAAAACCAACATATGAAATGAACTTCAGTTGCTACATAAGCAAAGCTGTTGCAATGAATTGTTAATAATAGCATTTAAATATTGTTGTAATTTCTCTTCCAGCCTTCTGGGCATCTAAAACAAATGATATTTGAACATAAGAAGCAGCTTTGAAATTTAATTTCTTTAAGGATTATTAATTCTTTAAATATTGATTTTCTTCTTCTGAATAATAGTTTATTATTTCAAAAACATGTAAATCCAAGAATACATTTTACATATCCCTTATTTCTTAGGTCATAAGTTATAGCAGAAAAAGACGATACTGTCAAATTTTTTTTGCAAGGTGTATTTGAAGGATTGCAGAATATATCCCAGGAAGTCTAATGCTGCTGAAGCTGAATTAACGGCTTTTACACCTTTTATGTTGTCAGGTGGATTAATTTTAAGCCAGGTGGAATATTACTGGAGAGCTGCACTGTGCATACCACACTTAAAGGTTATTAGTAAAAAAAGAAAGCAGAAGATGGCATTAATCCTTCATAGGTAGAACTGGGATATTTATGGAAGCCCGTTTCCGCCACTCTGTAAAAAAAAAAAAAAAAAACTATCTCATTATAATGAGATAGTATCTCAATATAATGAGATACTATCTCATTATAATGAGATAGTAACTCAATATAATGAGATAGTAACTCAATATTATATTGAGTTACTATCTCATTATAATGAGATAGTATCTCAATATAATGAGATACTATCTCATTATAATGAGATAGTAACTCAATATAATGAGATAGTAACTCAATATTATATTGAGTTACTATCTCATTATAATGAGATAGTAACTCAATATAATGAGATAGTATCTCATTATATTGAGATACTATCTCATTATAATGAGATAGTAACTCAATATAATGAGATAGTAACTCAATATAATGAGATAGTAACTCAATATAAATGAGATAGTTTTTTTTTTTTTTTTTTACCAATTTTTTAAGTTAAAATTGAGTATTTTTGGTCAATAGCTCCCAGGTCATGTGACCTATTGACCCAAAATCAGTGTGAAATTGTTCTACTAGTCTCTGTAGATGGGGCACACTCATTTGTTTTTCATTTTAACTCTTTTTTTATTTTTTAGCAATTTTTTAAGTTAAAATTGAGTATTTTTGGTCAATAGCTCCCAGATCATGTGACCTATTGACGCAAAATCACTTGGAAATTGTTCTACTAGTCTCTGTAGATGGGGCACACTCATTTGATTTTCATTTTAACTCTTTTTTTTATTTTTTTACCAATTTTTTAAGTTAAAATTTAGTATTTTTGGTCAATAGCTCCCAGGTCATGTGACCTATTGATGCAAAATCAGTGTGAAATTGTTCTACTAGTCTCTGTAGATGGGGCACACTCATTTGTTTTTCATTTTAACTCTTTTTTTATTTTTTAGCAATTTTTTAAGTTAAAATTGAGTATTTTTGGTCAATAGCTCCCAGATCATGTGACCTATTGATGCAAAATCACTTGGAAATTGTTCTACTAGTCTCTGTAGATGGGGCACACTCATTTGATTTTAATTTTAACTCTTTTTTTTATTTTTTACCAATTTTTTTAGTTAAAATTTAGTATTTTTGGTCAATAGCTCCCAGGTCATGTGACCTATTGACCCAAAATCAGTGTGAAATTGTTCTACTAGTCTCTGTAGATGGGGCACACTCATTTGTTTTTCATTTTAACTATTTTTTTATTTTTTTTTTACCAACTTTTTAAGTTAAAATTGAGTATTTTTGGTCAATAGCTCCCAGGTCATGTGACCTATTGACCCAAAATCAGTGTGAAATTGTTCTACTAGTCTCTGTAGATGGGGCACACTCATTTGTTTTTCATTTTAACTCTTTTTTTATTTATTTTTTACCAACTTTTTAAGTTAAAATTGAGTGTTTTTGGTCAATAGCTCCCAGGTCATGTGACCTATTGACCCAAAATCAGTGTGAAATTGTTCTACTAGTGTCTGTAGATGGGGCACACTCATTTGTTTTTCATTTTAACTCTTTTTTATTTTTTTTTTACCAACTTTTTAAGTTAAAATTGAGTGTTTTTGGTCAATAGCTCCCAGGTCATGTGACCTATTGACCCAAAATCAGTGTGAAATTGTTCTACTAGTCTCTGTAGATGGGGCACACTCATTTGTTTTTCATTTTAACTCTTTTTTTATTTTTTAGCAATTTTTTAAGTTAAAATTGAGTATTTTTGGTCAATAGCTCCCAGATCATGTGACCTATTGACGCAAAATCACTTGGAAATTGTTCTACTAGTCTCTGTAGATGGGGCACACTCATTTGATTTTCATTTTAACTCTTTTTTTTATTTTTTACCAATTTTTTTAGTTAAAATTTAGTATTTTTGGTCAATAGCTCCCAGGTCATGTGACCTATTGACCCAAAATCAGTGTGAAATTGTTCTACTAGTCTCTGTAGATGGGGCACACTCATTTGTTTTTCATTTTAACTCTTTTTTTATTTTTTTTTTACCAACTTTTTAAGTTAAAATTTAGTATTTTTGGTCAATAGCTCCCAGGTCATGTGACCTATTGACCCAAAATCAGTGTGAAATTGTTCTACTAGTCTCTGTAGATGGGGCACACTCATTTGTTTTTCATTTTAACTCTTTTTTTATTTATTTTTTACCAACTTTTTAAGTTAAAATTGAGTGTTTTTGGTCAATAGCTCCCAGGTCATGTGACCTATTGACCCAAAATCAGTGTGAAATTGTTCTACTAGTCTCTGTAGATGGGGCACACTCATTTGTTTTGCATTTTAACTCTTTTTTATTTTTTACCACATATGGACACCCTTATGCTTGAACATGGTGTTCGTTATGGACAATCCATGACGAGCACAGAAGTCCAACAACAGAACACCACTCGAGTTCAGATCGGGGCGACCATTCCTCCCAACCATGCCCCTCCAGGTCTCACTGTCATTGCTCACGTGAGCGTTGAAGTCTCCCAGCAGAACAAGGGAGTCCCCAGGAGAGGCACCCTCCAGTTCTCCCTCTAAGGACTCCAAGAAGGGTGGGTAATCTGAACTGTTGTTCGGCCCGTTAGCACAGACAACAGTCAGAACCCGTCCCCCCACCCTTAGGCGGAGCCCTCTCGTTCACCGGGATGAACCCCAACGTACAGGCGCCGAGATGGGGGGCAACAAGTATGCCCACTCCTGCCCAGCGCCTCTCACTGTGGGCAACTCCAGAGTGGAAGTATGTCCAGCCCCTCTATAGGAGACTGGTTCCAGAACCAGAACCATACGTCGAGGTGAGACAGACTATTTCTAGCTGGAACCTCTCAGCCTCACACACTAGCTCCGGTCCCTTCCCACCAGCGAGGTGACATTCCACATCCCAAGAGCCAGCTTCTGCAGCCGAAGATCGGACCACCAGGGTCCCCTCCCCCGGCCAACACACATTGCATACGACCCTTATGGCCCCTCTCACGGGTGGTGGGCCCATGTAAGGGAGGACCCAACAATTCACACTGATTTTGGGTCAATAGGTCACATGACCTGGGAGCTAAAAATACTCAATTTTAACTTAAAAAATTGGTTAAAAATAAAAAAAAGAGTTAAAATGAAAGACAAATGAGTGTGCCCCATTTACAGAGACTAGTAGAAAAATTTTACACTGATTTTGGGTCAATAGGTCACATGACCTGGGAGCTATTGAAGAAAAATACTCAATTTGAACTTAAAAAATAGCTAAAAAATAAAAAAAGAGTTAAAATGAAAAACAAATAAGTGTGCCCCATCTACAGAGACTAGTGGAACCATTTCACACTGATTTTGGGTCAATAGGTCACATGACCTGG